TGCCTTTTTTGGGCCTCTTGGGGGCCTCTTGGGGCCTCTTGGGGGTCTCTTGGGGCCTCCTGGGGGCCTTTTGGGGCGGAAAGCTGTTTTTTTCGCTTCGTGATCTCCCTCTTGGGCCCCTCTTGGGCTGGCCTTGGGGCTCTCTTGGGGCCTTCTTGGGCTGTCTTGAGGCTCTTTTGGGCCGTCTTGGGGTCCTCTTGGGCCGTCTTGGGCCTGCTTGGGCCGTCTTGGAGGCCTCTTGGGCCGTCTTGGGGCGGTCTTGGGGGTCTCTTGGGCCGTCTTCGAGCGTCGGAAGCCCGAAAAGGTGAAAAAGCCAAAAACATTGAAAAACCCAATGCGAATCAACGATTCTCGCCTTTTGGGGCCTCTTGGGAGGCCTCTTGGAAGCCTCTTGGGGCGTCTTGGAGGCATCTTGGGGCGTCTGGAGGCCATTTTGAGCGTCTTCGAACAATTTTTCGGCGTCTCGGGGCCCTCGTGGGGTGTCTGGGAGGCTTCTTGGGGCCTTCTTGGCCCGTCTTTGGGCCCTCTTGGGCCCGGAAGAGCCCCGTGACGCGCTCGTGGTGGGCCCCCCCCCCTCCAAATCGACCGGACCGGGTTCCCTGCTCGCGTCGGTGGTCGTCAGCGTGGTTCATGCCGCGGTTTGCCTGATGGTCTCTGCCGCGGCGACGACGTCGTTGGTTGCTGCCCCCGTGCTATCGCAGTCAGTCGCATTCGTTGTGTCGCGTTGGGTCGCGGTTGCATTGGTGAGCGTAGCATGCGTTGTGGTGTTCGTGGCGCTAACGCTGTGCAGGTAGCGCCGATGGCGGTCGCCGCTCGGATGGGGGAGGCACGAGCGTGCGTAGTCCTTGCACAAGGCACGGGTGCATTGGGGAGGTGACGGTTCTGGTTCGTGCTATTGCATTTGGGCGGGGCCATGGACACCGCGATGCAGCAATAGTGGACGGTGTAGGGCGTGGTCGTGGCGCGAAGTAGAGGGCAGGCGCCGCGCCGGGGTCGCGGAAGGAGGACGCAGAACTTGTACGCAGATGGTTGGTTTGTCACTTCGAACATTGTGCGGGGGCCGGATCTGTGTCAGCAAGACTCGCATTGTCGATGTTCGTTCATTGTGGGTCATGGACCGATTGTGTCGGGTTGACGGCGCGGCTCGCGATATTGGCCGCGTTGGAGTGTGGACAGCCTGTTGGAGGGCCTCTGTTGGTTGCGGTGTGCATCAGCCCAATGTTCCCACCAGCGGCGGGGGACGCCGATGTCGAGCGTGGGTGGTCGTGTGAACCGGCGTTCAACGTTGCAGAGCTGCTTGGGTACGAACTGTCGCGCCGTGTGACAGGGGCGTATCGCGGCGCAGCTTTCCGAAATGCGGGGAATACATGCTATTTGAATGCATTACTGAACGCGCTGGGCCGCATTCCGTCGATAGCAACATGGGCAACTCAGCACGTTGACACGGCGGGGGGAGCGTGTTCGCGGAACTGCGTGTTGTGCAGCGTGGGGAAGGACATCAAGGGCATGCGTCGGGAGGAGGGGCGGGGGCCCGTGGTCCCGCGCGTGGTTGCGTCGAGAGCGACGTGGAGCGGGGGATTGTTTGCAGGGACCGCGCAGCAAGATATCCACGAGGCGTTCGTGACGTTGACAGCAGCAATGCACGCAGAGGGCATGGCCAGGTTCGCAACAGTGGCGCCCGATCGCCAGATGCGGCATGGCGCGATCGATGCGGAGTCCCTGACCGCGCCGCTGTGGTCCGTAGTCGGAGGCGTGCAGGAAACTCTGTTAAGGTGCATCGCGTGCAACTCGGAGAGTTTGTCGGATGGGGAGATGTTCACGTGCATTTCACTCGCGTCCACGACGGCTGCAACCACGCTGGAAGCGCTGGTGGCAGAGTTCACGTCGGTAGAGCGATTGACGGGTGCAGGAGACGCGTGCGCCAGGTGCGGAGTGGAGGGCGAATTGCAAAAGCAAGCTCGCATCGCGAGGTGGCCGCAGGTAGTGTGCTTCCACGTTCGTAGGCTGCTCCTGCAACGTACTCCGGGAGGGTGGCTGAGGGAGAAGGTCGATGAGCCCGTGGCTTTTCCATTCGTCTTCGAACAGGGCCGGTGAATTGACCGCCGTTTGCGTGCGCGCGGGAGATGGGTACCGCGGCCACTACGCGACGTACGCGAAAACGTCCAGCGGGGAGTGGGTGTACTGTGATGACGAGAACGTTCCGAGATCCGCGTCAGTGGCAGAGGTGCAGCAGGCGCAGGCTGTCCTCCTCGTGTATGAACGCGCGGACCCGAGTTCAGAGGAGCAGCTGCCCGAGAGGAAGCGACGCCGAGGCGCACCTCCAAGTGGGGAGTTGTGGGGTAATGCAGTCAGTGAGCTGAGTCATGGCCGTGCCGCTTCGAGCGGTTTCGGGCAGTCGGCGGGAACTTCGGGCCGCGTTGTGGAGGAGTCGGACGACTTGGAATGTGCACGGCGGAGGGCCGACGGCGCAGCAGCGCAGGAGGCTGACCGTCGCAACGCAGTGGCGGAGGGTGGCGCTGCGCGCGCCGCAAGCGCCGCAAGCGGATCGACGTCGCAGGACGACACTCATCGTGGCGATGGCGCCTTGACGCCGGAGAGAACGAAACCGCGTGGAGACGTCAACGCGGCAAGGGGTGGCGACGAAGACGCGATGCGAAGTGGTTTGACCGAGGCGGGTCCGAGCGCGACCAGTTCCGCACCGCGGGGAATCGCCGGCGTTGGCGGGCGGGGCGCCTCGAGCCCGGGCGAAGCGGGGACAGGTCTACTTCCGCCGATCGCTACGGGCCCGGGGCTCGCAGGGGAGATCGTGCGGACGCGCCGGGAGAGCAGGGCAGGTGGCGGCGTGGGAGGAGATGTGTTGGCCAGGAAAGAGTTGGCTGCGGCGTGGAACGGGGGGGGGTGTAGCGATGGGGCGGAATGCGGCGGCAGATGCGAGAGGGGCGCGCCGGGCGACGCTGCGGGCCGCGAGGCTGCGGATAAGATCGAGACACCAGTGGCGGACGAGGCGCAGGAGTGGTTCTTTGCGGCCCGCGTGAACCCGGACTCGCAAGATCCTCGGAGGAACCAAGGAAAGGCTGTGGCCGAGGCGGCGGAGCTCTTGCGGGAGTCCCCGGGCGTGCCAGGTGACCCGGAAGACCCGTCCGTGCCGTGGGGGGAAGCGTTGGCCGAAGACTGTGCGGTTGAATTACCGTCCGCGCACTGCGCGTTCCGCGGCTGTCGATGGTCGGGGAACAGAGAAGCGGACTTGATCGAGCACGTGGCCGTGGGGCACGGGGACGTCCTACAGCCAATCGCGGACGCGCACTCCGCGGCGCGCGAGGAAAGCGAGAGGATTCAGGCGGCGCGCAGCGAAGTGGCGTCGCAGAAGACGCGGCAGGACGCGCCGCTCTCCACGCATGCAATGCATCGACGCAGCCTGAATGGATATGCGGACGCGACAGTCAGCAAGAATGTGTGTGCGCCTATATGCTTTCTCTGCGCTTGCTCGTTTCCCTGGGTGGCCGACCGAGAAAACAACGATATTTCGTGGGAGAAATTGTTTGAGATGCGTGGCCCATTTTGGACGCGTCGCGTGAGTTCGGTCTCCTGGCATACTTTCGGAGGTACAGGTGCGAGGAGGGGAACGAGAAGCTCGACCTGATGAAACAAACATTTGAGAGAGTTCGACGATTGGAAGCTGCGCGTGCAGTGCTCTCGTGAGTCAGGGGTGCCCGGGGGCGGGTTCGACCTGTTGTGCTGTCCAGAGGATGTGCGTTGCGCGGGCGGGTGCGTGGAAGGGAAGACCGCGTGTCCAGAGTGCGAAGTGCCAGTCTGTCGGGGGTGCGCCGAAGGCATCAATACCCCGAAAATGAAGTGGGACGGGGCGGAGGTACGAGAGAAACCTCAGATGCCTGAGCGCTGCCTGGCGAACGATCTGATGACGTTCTATGGGCGACTGAGCATGTGCGACGAGGGAATGACCGTGATGGAGATGATATGTTGCAGCCCGTGCATTACCTCAATGATATGCTTCTCGTTGGAAGTGAAATATCAGAATTTGTTCGATACTGTCGCTGGGATGCAGGAGACGCGGGTGGCGGCGCGCGGGAACGCAACCTCGTTTGCGTTGCCGTAGCAGGGTATCCTTGCGGAATTGCGGCGGAAGCAGAGATGGGCCGAGGGCGCCGGAGGCGTCGCCTTGCCGCGCGCGGGTAGTGAGCTGGGCCATGTAGTGCAGGTTTTGTTGAAGGTGAGCGACGCAACAACGAAGCAGAACCTGCCGCAGTTCATCCATCAAGCAACAGTGCGGCGGGACGTTGTTAAGCACCACATCAAAGATATTATGTCCCGCGGGCGCCGGGCGTTCGCGCACGTGGGCGAAGCGGGCGTGGATGCGCGCGCCGAGAGCTTGCCAAGGAACGGCGTTCCGCCAGAACTCGTTCGCCTGCTTCCGTGCGACAACCACTTGGACAAGGTAATGGTGCAAAAAAACGCGACCCCGTCGGATGGCGCGAGGACGGCGGTGGAAGAAGCCTGCGAGGTCGTGAATCGCCGCATCCCGAACATGGTGGTGATGGAGAAGTCCAGCTACAATGACGTGGACGCGAACGCGATGACGGAGTCCGCGTTCGCCAGGTTAGCAGAAGGAGTGGAGGAAGGCACAGCGACGCTCGCTGTCGCCCCGGGTGCGCATGAGGGTGCAGGTGAAGCAGGAGTGCGGTTCGCAGCTGCAGCGTGGAGAGATCGCGTGGTTGCATTGGCCGCGCATTTCCTAGGCGATCGGGAAAATGGGCGATTGCGGTACACGAGCAGTGGAATGCGGAGCGTGATTGAGGTCGGGGAGACAACTCAGCGGTACAACCTCGTTCTCATGGACGAAGCCGGGCGCGGCACCTGGGTGGAAAAAATGCGTCTGCGCCGGGTGTCGCCAGGGGCGGAGATGATGAGCCAGTTCGTGCCTTGGTTTTTTGGCGTGGCTTTCCCTTTTTGTTTCAAGTTCGGAACGGGCATGCCCGACATGCCGGAGTGGTCGGAGACGAGTCGGCACAGGCGGGGACCGGAGGCCCCAAGAGTGGAACTTCCTCTCTGGACGCGCATCATGACCCGGCGTGCGGAGTCGCAGCTCCGACGAGATTGGCGGTTTGGCTTCGCGATGTCTTCGCTATTGTACCAGAGTGCTCTGAACACGTCGAGAAGCATGCGTTTGTTTGCGGACCACGAACAGGTCGAAGATGAGGGGGACCGAGATTTCTCGTGCATGGAAGAAGCAGCGGTCAGCATAGTGGAAGCGCTGCGGGGCAGTTACGATGACCCAGGCACAGGGCAACGTCGCGCGGTGAACGGCGACGTGAACAAGTTGAAAGTTGTGGCGTCGTTGTCAGAGACCGCGCAGCGGATGGTTCGGCGGGCGCAGGCAATCAACCGGAAGATAGCGGGAACGAATGAAGTGCGGACACTGATGCGGTACGACACGCATGCGGCGCGGGTTTCCCAAGGCGTTCCAGTGTTTTTCACGATGTCCCCCGACGAAAGGCACGATCTGATCGTGGTACGCATGAGTCGATCCCGTCGAGAAGACCCAGTGAACAGGCGACGCGTGCAGGCAGAGCACGGGAACACGCACGGCGGCCTGTGGGAGCCAGAATGGCCTCAGGCCTGTGAGGCCCCCGGAGACGACGTGCATCTGGCATTCCCCGTGGAGAGCCTGGAGAGCGAAATCCCCGACGCGAAGGCGCGTTCGGCGTGTTTGGCGCGGGGCCCGCTGGCTGGCGTGGATGGATTCCGCACGATAGTCGGCCTGGTTTGGTCGCATCTGTTTGGGCTTCGCTGGTGTCCGCGGTGTCCCGACTGCAAATGCGCGGACTTGACTGGCAGCAACGCGAAGCTTGCGGGGGGGTGCGCCGGAAGGGCGGATGGAATGTACGGGTCCATAGAAGCGCAGAAGTCAGCGGGGAGCTTGCACGTGCGCGCGCAACTGTTCGTGCAGTGTGTGCATCAGCACACGCCGCTGCGCGAGATACTGCGGCTCCCGCGCGAGAGGCTGAAATAATTGCTCGACGGGTACGCCAAGTACAAGCGGCGCGTGTCCAGGCAGGTTTACGCAGACGTCGACGCGTGGCGAGAGGAGAAGGAGCGCGTTGAGGGTACGTGGCCAGCGTATAGAGAGACGGATGACCTTGTGGGCGGGGAGGAGTATCTGGCGCAGTCAGATGCGGAGATCAAAAGGGCGCTAGGTGGGAGTGGGGACGCCGACAACGGGGGAGGGGCGAGAAGCGGCTCCACGTGGTGGTTGAGGAAGTATGTAGGGGAGTGCGTGCAGCGCGGTCAGGGGTACCGTCAGAACCACGTGCACAGGTCGAACGCGCGGAAACGACAGATGATGCCGTTACTCCACTGTCAGCGGGACGACGACCCGACGAAGTGCAAGAGTTTCTTCCCGCGGACCACGTGGCAGGTAGACAAGACCGTTCTTCTGTGCAAGGGCTTCCTCAAAAGTCGCGCTATGCCGAGCACGGGCCGGAGAGACATGACCGGGTGTCTTCGCGGGCCGCAGAATGAGGAGAATCTGAACGGCACGCTGCCTGCAATCCTGGGCGGCGGGGTGGGCCTCAACTTCAATTCGGATTTGCAGTTGCCGTATCGGTTTCCAATGCTGGAAGAAACGCATGACGGGGCGGTGTGCGAAGAGAGGTGCTGGGAAGGGGCGCAGGCGAAAGACATTGTTCTTGCTGCGCAGCGCGCGCAAAACGCGCAGGCAGGCTACGCTTGTGACTACGGAGCGAAGCGACTGGCGACGTCGTTCAATGAGGTGAAGGAGATCAAGAAGGGCCATCACGCACTGAGTGAGAAAGTGAAAGAGAGGAGTGCATCGTACGTGGCACACAGGCACATCGCGCGCCTCCTGTCGGACTTGTACGGGAAAGGAATCGTGCGTTCCGCGCAGGAGAGCGTCAACCTGCGCGCATATGGGGATGCGCGAGACGTAACGGCCGCAGAGAGCATGAAAACAGCGAAGACGGCCATGGTCCCTGGGTTCGATGTTGCACGCCTCGTCGAGCGAGAGTGCGGTGTGGCGTCAGAACGGTCGGGGCCAGGGCGGTGTCATATTGAGCGCGATGGGAGGCGTGCGACGAGACCCCGGGTAGTTTCGAATAACCCAGCAGTGCTGTATGGCATGAGGCCGTTGGAGTCGGCGTGGGCTCCAGAGCTCAAGTTTTTGTCAGTGTATGAGTTTTATCGGTTTTGGCGAATCGAGCTGGCGCGGTTTTTGACGAAGCCGAAGAGCAAACAAGAGGAAGGCGAAGACGACGAAACAGAGTACCACGCGGTTCTCACACCCGCCGGCAGAGCGAAACTGGAGCGAGCGAAATGGACAATCGGGGAGGAGCCTCCGTTGACCGCTGGGAAGGATTACGTCGTTCGAGGGGATGGATGTGACAGCTGGGTGGCGTTTCCAGACGTTCCTGGCATGGAAACGACGCGCCGCAGGTGGGTCCTCGTGCGAAACGAGCGCCCGCGGAA